AATTAGTCTCATATCTTTGTCATCTATGTGGATATATGATAACCTGATGGTCATCCACAGGGAAACGAGCTAGCTGCCCATATGGCCTGAGTTGGCGATCCCAGATTATACAAGTAATAGGTCCCATGCCAGTCTCACGGTGTAGCCTTGGGTTGGACACATGGTCCTGCCAACTGTACCACATAACCCGGCGACTTGTTAGAAAAGGCATCAAGACGAGACTTCAAGGCACTAGACAGCGTCCAAGTTTCGCTTCCATAGAGCAAAACTGGCAATGTCAAAGCCCTGAAGACACATAACTTGGTTCTTCTGCATAGGTACCGTCATTTTCAAATGCTCTTGTTGACTGAGTTCATGGCTCCTGCTGCCAGACTAATCCGTCCACTGACTTCTTGGTCTGACAACCCAGAGATATGGACTACACTAGCAAGGCATGCTAAGCTCTCTGTGACTTAACGTCCTCACCGCAAGCATAGATCGACTGAACGGGATCCCCTAATAGGCCCCCAAAGTCCTGAATCTTAGTCTTAGTCTATGAGACCTCTAGGCCCAAGGGCTTCGCCTAAATGTATCGCCTAAATGTATCAAGAGCCACCACCGGTGACTCCAAAGACAACATCATCGGCAAAGTCAAGGTCTGAGACCTTGATATTGCCTAGCGTTGCTCCACACTGATTTTGGATAGGTCTGCCCATTATCTAATCCATGCAGGTGTTGAAAAGTGTTGGTTCAAGGACACAGCCTTACCTCACCCCTAAATTAACAGGGAAGAATTTTGACAGGTCCCCACCACACTTTACAGCACTTTCAGTACCGGTATATAGACTTGCTATTAATCCGTGTCGATATTCCCTTAAGTCTCAGAATCTCCCATAGCGATTCTCGATGTACCGAGTCAAACGCCTTGAGGTCGATGTAAGCTGCAAGCAACCCACGACCGAACTCACGATGGCGTTCCACAATTACTCGAAGATAATGTTCATCGTGGACTTACCAGGGATGAATCCAGACTGCTCCGGTCTTTGGTAGGTGGTCGCGGATCCGTTTCAGGAGAATGTGGGTGAAAACCTTGCCTGGCATACTGAGCAGTGTAATGCCACTGTAGTTGCTACAGTCCCAACGATCCCATTTCCCCTTCCAGAGAGGGATGACCACGCTCTTCATCAGGTCAAGGGGGAATGGAACCAGAATGCCAGATGGTAATCTAAACTGCATGCAAGCCCCGTGCCATAGGTTCACCCCCAGTCTTTAGCAGTTCACTAGGGATATCACATATGCCTGCGGCTTTCCTACTCTTCAGCTTAGAAATCGCCATCCTAACCTCAGTTAGGGTAGGAGGTTCCTCGCTGATGGGTGGGTCCGGCACAGGTATTGTGATACCAGTTGCATCCAAGCTAACTTTTAGAGGGTCTACCTGGTACAGCTGCTCAAAATACGTTCACGAACTCCAACATGATCTGAGATGATCCGTCCAGCTTTCTCAGGGCTTGGTAGGCAGGGCGAGGATCATTTATATGTATATAAATGTATATACATGTATGTGTGTACACATATATATTTATGTATGTATAAATATATATATATATATATATATATATATATATATATATATATATATATATGTATATATATATATATATATATATATATATATATATATATATATATATATATATATATATATATATATATATATATATATATATTTGCATATAATGAGTAAATAAGAGAGAAGAGAGAAGAGAGAAGAGAGAGAAGAGAGAAGAGAACAGAGAGAGAAGAGAGAAGAGAGAAGAGAGAAGAGAGAAGAGAGAAGAGAGAAGAAAGAAGAGAGAAGAGAGAGAAAGGGGCGAATGAGTCAGTCCTATAACGGTGGGAGAGAAAGGGTCTTGGGCATACGTAGAGAATAAATATTAGTCATATTCATATATTTCTTATGAGAAATTACCTTCTCTCCCCACACAGAAGGAAACACGTACATGTATGCAGGCAAGCACACATGGGCTATCACACACACACTCACTCACCCATTCACTCACCCAATCACTCACACACACACACACACACACACACACACACACACACACACACACACACACACACACACACACACACACACACACACACACACACACACACACACACACACACACACGCACGCACACGCACGCACACATCCGGCGGAAGTGCAAGGTCGTAGCTTACGTTTCTCAAAAGAAGTCTTGTTTTCAGACTGGTATGCGTGCTATCAGCAATTACGGCGGCGATTTAGTCAGTTAGATATTATACTGTAAATTTCAAACGATTTATCTACGAAAAATATGATTATTTACATGCCGTAATCTTTAAAACGTTCCGTCAATGGATAATTAGAGTTAAATATTAGAAATCTCAATGCCCCGGGGGTAGAACATACATGCATGACGTCATCTTCTGACATCTTTGTACACCCAGAGATCCCGGGTTAGCCGAACGCTCTCCCTATAAACAGAGGCGACGA